GGGGGGTCAAGCATGAGAGACAAGGCTTCCGATAACCGGGCCTTAGGAGAGGAATCGAGACCAGTGAGGTCAAGAACAAACCTGGGCCTAACCACGTCAAGCTCATGGAGGAATTGGCCGAAATGTCAGGGGCAGAAAATCTTTTTTTTTTTCTGGGTTTATGGGTTTGTGTTTGTTTGTGGAGAGAACACAATGAAGAGAGATTAATAGAGACAAGGCATACGTGTATAAAGATCCGAAAGGAAGAGAGAAAGGAATGGCTTTTGGAGTTGCAGAAAGCGATTCTTTATTCCTCACCGATCTGCCTTGCTGTTTGACCCTCCATCTTCGATCTCCTCTAACTAAAGGAAAGGATGAGTGAAGAACGATGCAAAGCCTTCTGAAAGCCCTTCTGTCGACGTATGAGAGAGGAAAAGATGCAAACTAATTTGGAAAGGGTTAAAATAGGTATTCTGAAAATTTGATTCACCAATTTAACATTTTCGGTCTTTGTCATTGACGAGGGAGGTTTTAGTCAAATTCATTAAAAATCTAGGAGAGGTTTTTGCTAAAGTGAAACTTCAAGGGATAATTTTATGATTATCAGAAATCCTAGGGAGGTTTTCGTAAAACAAAAATAAAATGACCCCCATATACCCGATCCCAACTCTTACGAATGTTTAGTGTTAAAACGACCCCCATTTTCGTTCTAACCCTTTCCTCCTCTCAGCCCTTAACACCCAACTGACCACCTGCGGCGGCCACGACCTACGGCGACCGGCGACCGGCGACGGCGGTGAACTTAATCTACGGAGGCCAGCGTAGACTTTGCAGCAGGTCCAGTAGTAACCTCTAAGGTCTTAGTCTACTCTATTTATCAACGACTTGCAGCGGCGGCCGGCGATTTTGCAGCGGCGGGCGGGGTTTCTAACATGCTGCGGCAGTAACAGTTGCAGCGGCACTTGGAGCTCGGAAGCGGAAGTAATAGTTGCAGCGGCAATCACCTGCGACCAAGCCCGAGCCCACCGGCGGCGATTTTTGTGAGTTTAACACCGTCACACCACCATTACCGGCAGTGAAATCGTGAAGGACCTGAAGGTATAAAATGCTTACTTAGTTGAATTTTTTGTGAGTTTAATTGATTCTTTGAATTTTTTTGCTTAATTCGTTGTTTAATTAATCTTGCTTAGTTTTTATTTTTTTTATTTTTTTGAATTCTTTGCTTAATTAGTTACAAAGGCTTTGTCAAAGAATGATGATGGTGATGTCAAAGAATGATAAAATCCCTTTTTTTTGGATTTTCTTTTTGTATTTTCTGCAAACATATGACTGAACACATATCACTAAAACATTCTATTTTCTTTTTTCATGTTTTTTTTCTGTATTTTTCTGTATTTGTTTGCAATTTTCTGTGTTTTTTTTTCTATTTTTTAACAATTTTCTGTGTTTTTCTGTAGTTGTTTGGATTTTTTTTTGTGTTTTTTTCTGTATTTCTTAGATTTTGATTTGTGCTTTTTTGTATTTTCTATGTGTTATGTACTTTATTACTTTGTATTTAGATAGTTTTATTTTTCTGTATTTTTTGTGTTTTTTTCTGTATTTTAGAATTTTTCTGTATATTTTTTTTAATTTTTTTGTGTTTTTTTTTGTATTTTCTATCTGTTCTGTATTTTATTATTTTTATATTTAGATAGTTTTATTTTCTGTATTTTTTATGTATTTTATTTAATTTTATGTTATTTTTATGTATTGTATTTAGATAGTTTTGTTTGATAAGATCATTTTCAAATAATCGTGGGCTTTTGCCACATTAAGTGTTTAGATCAAAATGTGATAGACACAAACCCTATAAGAGTCCTTGTGCTAGTCGGTAATGGAATTAGGATTTTTCAATTTCCAGGATGGCAGAGCATTTCCTTAAGGCTTGCAACTTTGATCTGTTTGTCTATCAACACTCTGATAATCATACAGGCCTTCCAATCCATTGGGTCCATAATGTCCTCTTCACCGGCTTGCAGTAGAGTTTGATCCTTAGATGGAAGTAAAATAGAGAACCTACAAAAGATCTCTTCTTCCATTGTGTGTGAGAGAGAGAGATAGAGAGATAGACATGCTTAGAAAGCATTTTATGTCAAACATTTCAAACTCTAAAAGGTATTAGCATGCATCGGGGTTGGTGCCTTGGTGGGAGTTGAGTCCGTGTTAGTGCACCTAGACGCATGAACCCACCAATCACATTCGACCACGTTGTCTAGGGGAACGAAGCATAATGCTAACGGTGTTAACATGGGTTTGGTGGTTCAACCAGACTATTAGAAGAAAGCTAACGTATATGACACACATACTTAATATTTATCTCATGTATTTGTGTTGATCCCAAACTCTGTATTGTGTGATAAGCTTTGCATATAGTGATAAGCTCGGCACATTACCTATTGTTTTAGATGTTTGTTGTAACTACAACATTCTTTCTACTATAAATACTTGCTGGTCGTATGGCTGATAATCCATCAAACCAGATTTCAACCACGTTTGTGTTTGCTTTCTTTAACTTGGTATCAGAGACATTTATACTCATGGCTTCTGTCAACCACTCTGCCTCAATCCCTGTGTCCCAGACCTCCACTCAACATTCTTCCTTAACAGGGAACTCTAACATAGATCGACAGCCTATGGGCCATTCGGCCCATCTCCTCTACACTCCTCCTCAAGCTGAGCATAGATGTTAATCATGCCTAGCTTGCCAGTGTCATGTTGAAGCCTTGCCTTGGAAATACCCTTGGTGAGGAAATCCGCCAATTGTCCTTAAGAAGTAATGAATGGAAGACACACTTCACCTGAAGAGACTCTTTCTCGAATAAAGTGTCTATCAACCTTAATATGTTTGGTTCTATCATGTTGTACTGGGTTGTGAGCAATGTTGATGGCAGCCTGATTATCACAGTACAACATCATGGGTTTGTCATGATCAATCCCAAGTTCTTCCATTAAGGACCTTAGCCACAACAATTCAGAGACTCCATGTGCCATGGCTCTATACTCTGCTTCTACGGAGGATCGGGCCACAATTGATTGTTTCTTACTCCAAGAGACAGCATTACCAGCCACCAGACTGTAATACCCTGAAGTAGATCTTCTATCATCAATATTTCCAGCCCAATYAGCATCAGTATAGGCTTCAAGTTTCAGATGACCATGTTTGGTAAATAGAATTCCTTTTCCTGTAGAGCCTTTTAGATAGTACAAAATTCGTTATGCTGCTGCCATATGAGTATCTCTAGGAGCATGCATGAATTGGCTAATATAACTGACAGCATACACAATATCTGGCTGAGTCATGCATAGGTACAGGAGCTTCCCAAGAAGTCTCTAAAAGACCCCTTTGTCTTCCAACAATGTTCCATCCGAAGCTGAAAGTTTGTGACTCATATCAATGGGAGTTGTAGCTGGTCTAGCACCCATTTTTCCAGTTTCAGACAACAAATCAAGGACATATTTGCTCTGGGAAATAAGAATCCCATCCTTGGATCTAGCAACTTCTATCCCAAGGAAGTATCTCAGCTCCCCCAGATCCTTAATCTCAAATTCTGTACGGAGGAAAGACTTAAGGGCCMGAATGCCTGAGGCATCATCACCAGTCACTATAATGTCATCAACATACACAATGAGATACACTGTTAGAGATCCACTTTTCTTCACAAAGAGAGTATGATCTGACTATGTGTGAACATAGCCGAATTTAACAAGTGCAGCTCTAAATTTCTCAAACCAGGCTCTAGGAGACTGTTTGAGGGTATAAAATGATTTCTTCAATTTGCATACCTTTCCTTGCATCCATACATTCCTGGAGGGAGACACATGTAGACCTCCTCATGTAAGTCACCATTCAGAAATGCATTCTTTACATCCAACTGATAAAGAGGCCAATCAAAGTGAGCTGCCAGAGATAAGAGAACCCTCACAGATGTCATATTGACAA